GATAGGGGTGGCCGGCGGCGAGAAATGCGAGTGGATATGGGTGAAATTCTATCACGAACAATGCGGCACAAGGTTGGATATTGTTTTTTAACACAATACAGACGCATGCGCTCATATACACGCGCTCGCGCATACACTCACCTCTATGAACGCACACATGCATACTCTATCCTTATGAGCACTTCCGAACGACTGAACCGGCATATCATCTTGAAATTGAACTCTAGTGGGCTGGGGACACCGCAGTCTCTCTAACCATCCAACCACAAGTTGGTTCGCGGTTGGATATTGTTCACGAAGCCTTTTTGCTACCACTTTGCCAACAATTTTGGTTTTATAGTAATCCAACCTATACAGGTGTGAAAACCTTTTGGCAGTAGGAAGAAAAGAGCACATATAATTAACAAAATGGTTCCGTAGTTGAGAGACTTGACTAATTCTCATGTGAGTAGCAAAAACGATGTATTAACAGCTTCCAATGCTACTTTTCGTTGAGTTTTGGTGTGGTGTGAAGTTTAAAAACCTCTTGCTTAGTTCAGTAACTCCTTACCAAACACATTGCATTTACTGAAACAAGTTAATTTTTCTATTCACTTGAGGTAAATAAATCAACCAATATACCAGCAATTCTTCTATGTATGTATGCTCCACCAAATTCAGAGGCCATAGAATGCCCCGAAACTGTACCAACAAAAAAAAAACGAATTCTCGGTGGCCCATGCAATTTTCTACTTCTGTCGAAGATGTTCGATGGCCAGAGCAAGCGTGGGCGCGAAGCGCTCCACGTCAACGCGCACGTCCTGCTTGCCGAGGTAGTACTCGGCGACCTTGTCCCACCCACTCCGGTGCACCGACTCGGGGTCCTTGATCACGGGGTGGTCCGGCCCCAGCATCTCCAGCAGCGTGCTCTCCTCCGCCGTGATGCTGTACTCGAGGTACCGGAGCCCCATGTCCGCCACGGGGTCGCCGAAGTCCACCTTCGCCATGTGCTCTAGGTTCCCGTACGGCACCACCTGGATCACCACCGCCCCCGTGGGCATGAACACGGCGTTGGTCAGCCCGGCGCCGTGCACGCCCAGCAGCACGTCGAACGAGTTCACCGACCGGGCCAGCTCCTCCACCCGCACGTCGAACCGCGGGTCGGCGATGGACACCTCGAACCCGGCCTTCTCCGCCGCCTTCACGATCTCAGGCACGTTCACGAACTTCCGGTAGTGGCCACGGTGGAGCAGCATCAGCCGCGGTTTCCTCTTCTCCTGGTCCTCCGGCGGGCTGATGTCCTTCATAAGGCTGATGGGCGCGGCGCGGGGTAGGGTGTAGGTCTCGCGGAGGAAGGCGGTGAAGTCGACCATGGAGAGGGGGGCGCCGCCGGGGACCAACTCCGGCACGATGTCGAATTCCTTGTGCATGCGTAGCCCGACAGTGACGCTCGGAAAGCACCGGATCTGATCATCATGGTCGAGGTCCACGACGTCGTACTTGGACAGCCGTCTCACCACGGCCTCGTACTTGCCGAGCCACCATGGCTGGATGTTGCTGGCCAATAGCTGGACCTCGCCGCCATATCGCCGTGACGCCACGAATAGTGGCACCAGCGCATCGCTGAAGTCGTGGAAGTAGTTGCCTGTTAGCCCACCGAGCGCGAACACGATGGCCGGGACGCGGTGCGTCACCGTGCACGCCGGCGCCGGGGATGCCGCGGAGGTCGAGTCGAGCTGCGTCACCGTGACCTCCGAGATGCCAGACATGCCACGGCGGACGTAGGGCTGAATCTTCCACTCCCGGCTCTCCGTCTCGGTCGCTGGGACGAGGGTGACGGTGTGAGCTGTGCCGTTGGTCCGGACGTCACCGAAGACGTCGCACGTGTCGGAGAAGGGGCCCTCCGTGGTACACACCACCTTGCCGTTGTCTGTTCAGCACCACAAAAATGAGTAAAAGGTTCATAAATCATGAAGCATTTCCTTGTGAAAAAGATAATGAAAATACAGATCAGGAAAAGGAGTGATTAATCAACCGTTTTGTTGAACATGTACTGAGAAATAAGAATAGGGTCTGGCACATCTGGATGGTTCATAGTTATTGCACACATGGATCTTTGCGTAATCAGTGACATAAAACTTATATGTGCAATAGTTAGATGTGTTTCTCATGGAACTAAATCATGAAAGATGTG